AATAAAAGTGTACGTTTTCTGCAGGAAAATACATTAATTTTTTTTAATAAAATCAAAACTTCTAAAATCACAAACATATGTGGTTTTATCGGAAGTTCACAGATGTAACGTGGCAACTTAGCTCGTTTTCACATTTTTCGGTCCGAAATTGTAAAATTTTTGTCCATGACGCGCCACGATTTTTGTACAGGTTGGTCAATGTGCCTTGAACACCATTTACATATATACAAAAAAATTATTTTATTTATTTTTTAATATTAAAAATTTCTATACTTCAAAGCGTTTATAAAAGTATATTTACATATATGCACGGACGATTTTTAATATTTTTCATCCGTAAGCAAATCTTCAGTACCATAAAAGATTCTAACACATCAAAGTACAAGCAATGCAATGTCCAAGCTAGTGCTACTCCACTGTACATGTGTATATGAATGTATGCATGTATGCGTGTAAAAAATGTCAATTCCAGTTGGTTTTTAACCCATTTTGCGGACATAGTTTTTTTTCAGTTTCAGCTGGTTCCAACTGTTTATGAAGCACAATTTTTCTGGTTAATCTTGATGAAAGTTACATGTATCGTCGAGAACATGGTTACATGCAGAATTTTAAATTAATTAATATTCTTCTCCATATAAAATGTACGAGTATGGCTTTATTAAATGTAAACTTATGCGAAAACCTAAATATTTCGTCAACCAAGGGTTAATTTTGGTGGCGTCGTGGCAATTCGCAGAAATTTAATAATTTGTCTATGGTTGGAGGACGGCGAGGGGAAGACGAAACCAGAACAATCGTACATATTTATGCACATATTTACATTTATAAATGCACACATATTTATGCGTTTGTCTCCTTGGACGAATGAAAAATTTCATATATGTAGTGATTTAGAGATTGCCGTTTCAGTAATGTGCCGTGGCGTGTACGCTAGAGACGGTGCAACTTTTTGGCGTCTCGCCGTTTGTCTTGGTTCAAATCCCGGACGGACCAAGTAATAAATTTTTTTTTTTTTTTTTTAATTGTCATATCCATATTCGATTTTAAATTTTACTATTAGCTTTATTTAAAATAATATAAATGGATATGTAGGTACAAACGCATGCATAATTTCACATAATCGCTCAAATTTGCCAAAAGTTACTGAAAGCTTTATTGTAAATGTTTTCACTAAAATATTAGTTATTGGAATTAAAATTTTATGCGAATCCCATTTTTATTCCCATTTTTAGAAAGCGCAAGTATGTATATGTTCGTTCCACAAAAATTATTTCATAAGTAGTTAATTTTAAACACAAATATGTATGTACACTGGCAAAGTGAGTGCATCCTGTTTTTTGTTTAATATTTGCAATGTTTTTAAGTTAAACTTTTATGTTATTTTCGACGGGAATTGCGGTTTTATGTATATAGCAAGTGCAATTTGTAAAAAATAGCGCTAATTTTTTTTTAAATTTGTTTGCAAACGGTCATGCGCATTTTATTCTACAAGAAATTCACTTTTATTTGGTAAAAAGTGCAAAAAGCCGTCAGCAATAAATAATCATTAAAAATCAACCGGATTTTTTAGCCGCTTAAAACTTGATCTTGTTCCACTAGAATTAAAAAACCGATCTATCTGCGTAGTCAAAATTTTTCTAAAAACTCAGATTAAACAGGTCAAAATTTAGACGAGAATTCGTTGAATTTTTCTATGTTCTGTGTAAAGTTTGAAAGTTCGACTTGTATAGTTTTGATTAAAGCATGAACCACATTTTTATAAAAAGATAATAAAAAAAAATTAATTGAAAAACATTGCAAATATTAAGCAAAAAACACCATGCACTCACTTTTGATTACCAGTATATGTACGCATGTACATATGTGTGTAAACTTTATGCCAAACTATCATTATTTTAAATTGTATTTGCATCTTCATAAAAGGAGAACAAGATAAAAAATTTAACAAAAATTACAAATTAATGAAAATTATGTGAAGATTTACCATATTTTCGTTTATTTGCTCACAAAGAACATCACATTTCATGTTGCTCAACATTGTATTATGTTATCAACATTAAATTCAACAGAATTTTTACATTCCGACTTGAACTTTTCTAACGCTGTTAATTTTTCGTCCGCGAATAGTTTCCACTTTCAGTTTGCACCTTCTCTATCTATCTAAGTTCTCTGGTATTACACACAGTTGCAAAATTTTGAAACCGTATTTATTTTCATATTAGGTGCAATTCCTCGGACTCCGACTAGCAAAACTGTCAAAAAATAAAAATTCGCTCAGAGCGAGAGAGTAACATTGTTGAATAGTAAAGTTAAGTAAAGCACTAGTAAAAAATGGTAACTTCTGTCAACTTCAACATAACCTCAAAATTTTGGTTGTAAATTTTTGCTTATTTTGTATGTAAACGCACTCAGCTCACACATGTAAATAACCAAAAATACTTTCAAATTCATTAGAATCCACTTAAACAAGTAATTAAATACTTTTCAACATGAATTAGCAGAGTGCACTTTTTTTTGTTTACATTTTGCTTGCCAAACACACTACAGCTGATCGTTTGACACATTTACCAGAATTTACCAGCAAAAAATTCTCGGACTAAAACTGGTAACTTCTGACAGAGAGAGAACCATATTTACTCTCTTTTTTGTCCTCTCAATAGTCAGAGAACCCAGTACGGGATCGATTTCCAGTAAAATCTTACTGATTCTGACTATTTCTGACTAGTCCGGACTCGTACGGGATCGCAACTATTATTTAATTTCAATCATTTTTTTATAACAATATAGTTCATTCTAAAACAAACACCATAAAAATGCACATTTCAAGCTTTGAGTGAAAATTATAAAAATTCAGCGAATTTCCCCCAAATTTTTACATTTTTTTTTAAAGAATTTTTGGAAAGTTTTTGCGTATGCAGTTTTATAGCCCATGCAATTTTAGTACAATAAAGTGCGACCTTCATCTATCTACAAATTACCGTTGATTTTTGGATTTTTTTTTTTGACGGTGTCACTCATTCTCTTCCATACAAAGTATGTTCGAAATTTTCTTTGTATGGAACAAAATGAACACTGTCAGCAAAAAAAAAATCCAAAAATCAACGGTATTTTGTAGCTATATGAAATTCGCACGTTATTATACTAAAATTGCATGGGATATAAAACTGCTTACGCAAAAATGTTCCGAAAATTATTAAAGTGTAAAATGTTGGTTAAAATTTGCTGAATTTTTATAATTTTGCAGAAAGTTTGAAATGTGAATTTTTATGGTGTTTGTTATAGAATGAACTATAGTTTTATTAGAAAATACTTGAAATTGAATAATATGAAAATAAATAGTCAAAACTTGTTAATATATTGCGAACTTAAAATTATGCAACTGAGTGTACTATGCACCCATGATTCAATAATACAAGGTTCGATAAACTGACAGTTGTCTCTCTCGCACCGCTCCCTTAGCAGTGGCACCGTGTTATCTTCTTTGCAAATTTACATGGAAACAGTGTAGCTTTGGTGTGAAATAAAAGTAAAAGCTTTTGTGCAATATGTTTATTTGTATATACATATGAAGCATATTTAACTGATAAACATAAACATTGGATGTTTACATCAATCTCATAGTAGTCTTATTTTAATTTTTAGTCATTTTGCAGTTTTTATACGGCTAAATAGCATATAAATTACGTAATTCACGTAGATATATCAATATTACGTTCAACATTTCGTTTAAAATGCCAGATTTCCTGCAAATACATTAGAATTTACGAAAGGAATTTCACTACTAATTGCCTACTTTGCGTACTTTTCTACTACCATTTTCGAAACAAGGGATTGCATTCTTGCCCTTTCTCTGTCCTTCGTAAATGCANTAACATACATATGCACACGGCAAGGTGTAAAAGTACGTTTGCATATAAATACATTTAATCTCATTTGTTAATCACCCTTAATCACACGAACTTAAAGCCAAAAATTTCAGTCACACGGTTGCCGTTTTGGTCCAAATGGACCAAACTTGGCCCATTTCTTTTCGTTTGGTCCATTGGTCCAATACTTTTTTAAATGGTCCATTTCACAAGCCTTTGGTTAGGTTATTATCACCCTTTCACTTCATGCAATAGTTTCGCGTTTTCAATTTTTCTATTTAATTCTATCGTCATCGTCAGTAAAAGTAACGATACGGCCATAGTCAGCATAGGGCCGATTAGCAACACCTGCTAAAAGTTTGAACTCGCCTTGCCACTGATCTTCAAATATGGCATGGCTAATCATCTGCCAAAGCACTCTACAAAAAATATCGCGGTTACTTACTAATTTCGATTACTCAGTGACCAATATTAAAGTGGCTGGCAAATATATCGAAAGCTAGCAAAACTTAGCACATGAATATAATATTCGATTTCAATCGAAAAGATATTAAACATCTTGATATTATTACACCACATAAAGTTTTTCTGATACTGATGTATCAGTTTTGCCGCTACTCGACCAATTTCCTGCATAGGTAAATGGTGCAGACATAAGTGAATTTCAATTTCGTAAATTGAGGCTGAGTGAAGGTAACTTCATATGTTAGACATATGTTAGTGTATGGCCGAGCTTCTCCTCGATTTGTGGCATGCGCCTTGATGTTTATCACACAAATGGGAAGGACTTACAGTTTTACGCCGACTCCGAACGGCGATTGTATTTAAATGAGAAGCTGTTTTTCATGGCAGAAATACACTCGGAGGTTTGTCATTGCGTGCCGAGGGCAGGGCCGGATCGTGAGCTCGATTATGGGGGGGGGGGAAATACGAATCAAAAATTTTTTACATTCAGGTATGATAGACATTTTATTTTATTATATTATATATTATTTGTAAATGAATTATATTTTTATAAATCATATGTTTTGAGTCATATAATAATATACTGAGAAATAAAATTTTGGTACATACGAATATGTACATTTGTGTATTGTGTTGCATGTATACCGCAGAAGTTTACCATTACACGAATTACAGAACTATTCTGTGTGCTCCCAGATTCGCGAACCGTTCGATGATATCTTCTGGTTTCACTTCGATGTCATGATGAATATTAAGTAGTGCTAGGCCGACCAATCTTTGTTGAAGCATGGCCGTTCTGAGCCAAGTTTTCAGACGACGTAGTGTTGAAAAAGAACGCTCGGCGCTTGCATTGGTGACACACATTGTACATAGAATTCTGAGCAAAGCGTGAATGGTTGGATAAACATCTTTGTCACAAAGTTCTAAAGTTTCCAATGCAGTTAGCGGTATTTCAGAGTTTTCCTTAGAAATGTTGGTTGTCTTCTGTTTCCAAAAGTATTGCCAGTGGGTCATTTCTCCTTTAAGTCTAAGGTAAAGAAGTTTTTCTGCTTCCTTCAAAAGATTGCAGAATCGTTGTATCAAACAATTAATTAAATGTGTAATTTCATTCGATGTCAAATCCTTAATATTCTTCGGGAGCAATGAACATAATTGAAAGCCCTCCAGGATTTCCTGAGAAAATCGAGTTTTCAAGTCTTCTATAATATTTTCCAGAAGAGGAATGTACATGGAGACTCGGAAGTAATCCTCACAATTAGATGTGTCGTGATTTTCACGTCTCACTTGCCTACCAGTTGTTCTTGGTTTCTTTACTTCTATGTTTAATTCTTCTGCCAATTTCGTTGCATCTGTAAATATTTGCTTGAACTTTTCTTCGACCTCTTGCCTTTGATCTGCCAAAACTGAAATTAGAGATTCAATTTTTTGGGAGGCGTTTGCGAAATCCATGTCTTCTTTTTGAAGGGATACACTAAGGGGGCGTGTCAAAGATAAAACATCACTTAAGCAAAAAAGCCCAATAACGAAGTCGAACGAGCTCAGAGCAGCGATAAGTACTGTTGCTTTACCAGCCGTTTCCCTGTTGTTCCACTTACATACTTTATTCAACGCCTCGATAATCCTTGGAAAGTCTGCGACGAACTGGAGTACAGAGTCATGTCGCTCGACCCATCTTGTATCGCATAAACTCTTAAGTTTGTGTCCAAGTATTTTTGATAATGCTGTTGAACGTTTAGGATGTGCGTTCTGGAAGAATTTTGTCACCTCTCGTATTATGTTGGAAACTTTCTGAATTGACTGAATATTAGAAGATTTCATGAGACTGCTGTTGAGCTTGTGGGACATGCACAGTACCATAGCAGCGTTTTTTGCTTCTTTTTTGATTTCATTGACTGCTCCACATTTTTCCGAAATATTGACGGCACACGCATCAGCCCCTATCGAGATACAGTTTTCTAAATTCAAATTTAGTTTCTTCATTGCCTTCAAAACAATGTTTCCTAGAGCAACCCCGGTCAGTGATAATTCTACGTCGTCTTCCTTATCTTCACCCTCTCTATCAACATCTTCACCCACTTCATCAACATTACAACCCTCCTTATTAACTTCTTTGGACATTTCGCCAAAAGCATCTATGAAATCTACGAAATCTTCCCTCACACAAGGTCTTCTAGAAGAAACGTCGATATACCGAAGTATTAGACTTATCTGGACATTTAGTGAAGGCGCAGGAAAAGCGACGAAAATATGAGTTAATAGACACATTTTTAACTGTTAGAAATATCTAGAAAATTAGTTACCTGTGCTTTTCCTGATAAATCTGAAGTTTCATCAAATTCTATGGAGTAGAATTCCGCATCAGTTACACGTCGGACAATTTTTTCTTGAATGTCAACTCTGCAACAATCAATAAGTTTATCTTGGGTTGTTTTACTGATATAAGTCGCGACTGATGAAGCAATTTTTAGACCATTTTCTAGTGTTGTATCTCCTGATTCAATTTGATATTTCAGCAGTTCACGAAAGTTTCCTTCATTTCGTACATGAACTGATTCTGCTAGAAGTGGCCCGTCATCACCTGTCCCACGAAATGCTATGTTTTGCCTTCCCAGAAAAATAACTGCTCTTACAATGGACTTCAGAAATTTTCTGTTCTCTAGACGTTTAGATAGATAATCATCATTTAAGATATTGTGGACTTTGAATTGGGGATTGTGATAATTCTTCAGAAAATCCTTGGCTGCAGCTATTGCATTCTTGTGGTAAATATGTTGAGAATGGTTTTCAAGATCTCCTGACTTGCCGACTAGTTTCTTGAAGTTAACCAAGGGTTGCGAAACGAGTACACCTAAGGGTGTATTATTTTGGTAACCTCCTACATTGTGCATCGTAAACCATGGACAGTATTTACAATAGAGCCCTTTTTTTGCATCAGAAAAAACGAGCCATTCCCTGTAATCAGCTAAATGTTTATGCATCACATAATGTTTTATCTCTTTGCCTGAAACTGTTCTTCTGGAGAAAGGAAATGTGTAATTATTCGATGGTATCCAAGGGTTCTCCAAGAGTTCTCGCTTCACCCTATCGCTTATCTCCTGTCCGATAAAATGACCTATGTCGCTTGAGAATTCTGACATAACTAAGTTATTACTTGCGCCTATAGAATACGATGAGCTAGCGCTGATTAAGTCGGTTACGGATGAACTCTGAGCTTCTTGTCCTAATGTAGTATTACTTTCTGAAGAAGTATCCGAAAGTTGATTTTCGTCAGCATGATTCGTTTGATCTAAAGAAACCTCTTCTACTTTTTTTTTCTTGAGAGGTTGAAAAAAAGTTGAAATCGAAGGCTGCCGGTGAGACTGAAAAACGAATTCCATGAAAATTCCTTCATCAGAAGTTATTTTTCATTTAATTTCACTACAGAATGCAAGAATAAAATGTTGATTCTATTTTTCATGCACTAACGCAATCGTTACAACAACACAGCTCACCACTCGTAAAAATATTATTTCATGGCGCACTATAATGTGAATTATTTTGAATTTTATTTTTATTTTTGAACTTTGAATTATTTGTTGCCAAAGCAGTGCGAAATATGAAATTCCTGAGGCTTGCAAGCACATGTTATGTATGTACATATGTATGTACTTACCATTTTCTATATATTTACAAACGCTTTAACAAGTAATATATTCCAAGCATTGAGCACCTCAGGATCAGCAACGATGAACAATAATTATTTTTGAACAAATTGACCGCACAGCATTCAGATAAAATACAACTGAACACGAAAAATAAAAGCTTATATGGTTTTGAAATTACTGTCATTGTTGCGTTCGGTATACACCATGTGTACATACATACGTAAATATACGTGGGCATAGCTGGTATACGCTCTTCATGTGTAAGAAAATACAAATCGTTTTGTTTGCAATCTTTTGCTTTGCAAAGGTACTGGTTTTGGTCATTCGTGAAATGCTTCGTTTGTTTTTGAACTCTGGTTGTTATGCAATGCTTTTGCTCTTGCTTTGGTCTTGAAAAGAAAATAGTGACAGCACCAGCAAAAGCATTACTTTGCAGCACCAACGGGAGGCTGCTGTTGCCAACTTGGTTCTATTAGCACTAAATTTGGTGCTTTTCTTTCTTCAAAACGCAAAAATTTTTGAGTTTGGCGCATTGTGCGCTTTTGCCGCTTTTTGTTTTAGTTTGGAGACACCAAATCTGTAAATCTTAAAAAAATGTAAGCAAAATTTATAGCATTCGTAAGTTTTGTAAGCAACTTTACAAAAATGGAAACAAAATCATCGACTGGATCGGATTTGGGGGGGGGAAATTTCCCCCATTTCCCCCCCCGTAGATCCGGCCCTGGCCGAGGGGCGATCGCTGTTAAGAAAAAACCTTTTTTCTAAATTGGAAGTGCAAACTGCTTACCACTACACCACAACGGCCGCCCAAGTAAGTTTGATTACAAATGGATAGGGTGAAGCGGCCTTTGGAGAATTGTGTGATTTAGTTCATAACATTTTTAGTCTGCCTCACAGTTCCGCAGCAGCTGAGCGCAAATTTTTCGATTTAGGATTAATAAAAACGAAATTAGGAAACAAATTCTAATTTAAAATTTTAAATAATATAATGTTAATAATATACAATTGTAATGCACTTTGGATGCAATATAAAAAAAATATAAAAACTGAATTGGCATATTTTCTTGGTAAAGAGGAATAAACTCCAATCAATTTCTCGGTGTAATAAAAAATGGTAAATTTTTTATCATTTGGCCCATTTTTTGGTCCCAAAAATTAATTGGAAGTGGCAACCGTGGTCACTGTATCATTTTCAATCGGATGAATTAAATGACCGGATTCAATTTGGCCTACAATATTTTTTAATACAGCAAAGCCCTTTTAGCTTATTGCTCACAGTTGAAAAATTTTCAGCATTTAATTTTTCTTCAGCTCTCTTAACAATATCTATATGTGCCGATAAAGTCAATGCCGTTGCTTCTAGGGGCAAAAAATTGTATTCAGGTAATAAGCACAAATCCAAATAAGAATTGTTTCGAAGTTAATTCAACATTCTAATGGTAACCCCGCATAAGTACTCGCAATGTTGTTCTCAGAAATTCCTCCAAAAAGCTGTAAATAGTGGATTTAAAAGTAGAGATTTTATATCGATCTAACATCCAATGGATCAAAATGCAGGATTTATATGGACAATATTTGTTTTTTTTTTTTTAATTCTTTCAGAATAGAAAGCAATGCACTTATTAGACATATTAGCAACAATATTATAACAAAAGGATCAGTCCAGCGCCTTCGTCTTGACCTGCAGACTGTGTCGGAGTCACAGCCAAGTAACACACAGTCACAGTCACATTCAAGTTAAAAACGGTACATGAAATATTCGTTTTGATTGTATTGAATTGAATTAAATAAATCAATATGAATTGCAAAATATTAATACTTAGCAACTTCGAACTTCAATCATATGTACCATCAGCTTATAAATAAATAGATGCCATGACGTGTATCATTATTCCGATTCATTTTTATTTCCTTTCATACTGCAGAAATTTGTATTCCTTTTGACGTAGAATACATCTATGCTATGCTGAAATGTAATTTTTAGAGCTTCACGAAAACGCTTATTGCACGAGAACTAATGGCCCCGTCAGAATGGGTACTTTGCGTACGTTCCGCTCAAGCATTAAACTGACAGTTGAGTATATTGTATCAGCCCGATTCTTCCTCATTTTATGAATAAAAATTCCCTGAGGATTTTTCCTCTTTTCCCTATTCTCGTATTCTAAAAGATCTTCGAAAAAGGGAAAATGTATTTCGGGAAAAAGTAGGTATTACGAAAGTCAAAAAGGAGGAGAATTGATTTCGTTATTCTGGGAGAATTTTCACCGGTATTTTAAAAGGGAACTGCTACAAAAATGTAAGTTAATTACAATTTAAAGGAAATTTGGTGTAATAAAACGTTTAAACCTTTCATTTTAGGTCCAGAACAACAAATAAGAAACAGGTAGAAATCTTAATAGGCCTAATGGAAGCTAGGTTATTTTGGTTTATTACATGAAAACGCGCGATTGAAATCAAAATATTTCAACTCACATGTGTAGTTAAACGACATTATTCAATAATACAAGGCTAGATAATTATTGACAGCCGCGGTTTGACACTCCCTTACAAAAGGTTGCATTTAAGAAGGATGGGGAAAGGGGAGGAATGAAATTCATTGCTGCGAAAATGGTAGTAGAAAAGACCCAAAGTAGGCAAATAGTAGTGAAATTCCTTTTGTACATTCTAATGTGTTTGGGCGAAATGTTAATATATCTGCGTGAATTACGCAAAGACTCAAAATTAAAATAAAACTACTATGAGATTTATGTAAACATCCAATTTAAANATCTATGCTATGCTGAAATGTAATTTTTAGAGCTTCACGAAAACGCTTATTGCACGAGAACTAATGGCCCCGTCAGAATGGGTACTTTGCGTACGTTCCGCTCAAGCATTAAACTGACAGTTGAGTATATTGTATCAGCCCGATTCTTCCTCATTTTATGAATAAAAATTCCCTGAGGATTTTTCCTCTTTTCCCTATTCTCGTATTCTAAAAGATCTTCGAAAAAGGGAAAATGTATTTCGGGAAAAAGTAGGTATTACGAAAGTCAAAAAGGAGGAGAATTGATTTCGTTATTCTGGGAGAATTTTCACCGGTATTTTAAAAGGGAACTGCTACAAAAATGTAAGTTAATTACAATTTAAAGGAAATTTGGTGTAATAAAACGTTTAAACCTTTCATTTTAGGTCCAGAACAACAAATAAGAAACAGGTAGAAATCTTAATAGGCCTAATGGAAGCTANTTTAAAAACAGTTTATGTTTTCATCAGTTAAATGTGATTCATATGCATATACAAATAAACATATTGCACAAAAGCTTATACTTCTGTTTCACAGCAAAGCTACACTTTTACCAAGTAAATTTTCAAAGAAGCAACACTTTGCCACTGCTAAGGGAGCGGTGCGAGAGAGACAACTGTCAGTTTATCCAACCTTGTATTATTGAATCATGTCCAAAGACTAGATTTTAATTTAGCACTAATATTTAA